CSGCGTAATTACGGCTTTATAAAAAAAGTCGTCTTTCGTCAATTGGCAAATAAGTACGCATCTTTTTCAGAAGACCAAACTTTTTTACTAAGCTTCTTACAAAGTTTATCTAAATGCTCCTTAAAAGTTAGTTCTTGATCAATTGTAACCCCAAGCAGTTTCTGATGTACAACTTGCTTGATAGCTGTTCTATTTGCTTGCAACTTCAAACTAGAGCCTGCTACACGTGACTTGAGACGCTTGAGTTGCTTGAATTCGGCCCAGGAAAGATGAGGGAAACAACAAACCCCAAATGCATCTGGAAGGGAGATGCAGCCCCACCCCAGGCAAAAGCAGAATGAAAACCAGCCTTATAATACTGAAAACTATGGGATGGGACAATTGAAATCAGCTGCCCCTGGGAGGCGTGTGTAAGTGTCTCATTGAAAGTAAAAGCATCTGATAAAAAATATACAGGATAAGTTACAAGATATAAGCATATAACTCACTTCTGCCCTTGCCAGAGAGTGAAGCTGAATTATACAATATAAAGTTGTCAACTGTAAATAACACATAACTCACTTCTGCCCTTGCTAGAAGTCGAAGTTAAAATATACAATATAAAGTTGTAAACTGTAATTAACACATAACTCACATCTGCTCTTGCTAGAAAGTGAAGTTAAAGTATACAATATAAAGTTGTCAAATGTAATTAAAACATTAACTCTCTGTAAGCAAGTTTTGGGGCAACTGGACCCACAAGACCGTTCACGTAATCTGGAATGACCAAGGCTGAGAGCGCATGCTCGGTTTGGGCCTAGTGACGGTTGCTATGTGAATGGTGAAGTGTCTCTGCTTTCATAGCAACTTAAGAACTACAACAAGTGAGGAAGTTATAAGGAGCATAAAAATCCTATTCGCTAGCAAATATTTCATATTCGTTTGTGCTTGCTTCTTTCTCATCATTCCTGAGTTTTATTTGTCTTATGATGCTCTACTTATTTAATTTTTTTTTTCATTTTTTTTTTTTTTGGGTAACAGTTTCCTCATTTGGCAGTTGTGGACAAAGAAGTCCGTCGTCTCGCGTTGTTGGAGGATCACAAGCCCAACAGGGTTCCTGGCCCTGGCAAATAGAACTCCTGATTTCGCGATCACCTGACTTGAAATCATTCGTTCATCGTTGCGGAGGCACCTTGATTGATCTTCAGTGGGTGGTGACAGCTGCTCATTGTGTGTTCATGTTCCCAACCCCAGAACATTATAAAGTTGTCGTAGGTAGGTAAACGTTATAGCTCATAGTGATAGGTGATAAAGCTCCTCCTATTCCTTCTCTTCGTAGTCAGGCGTTCGATATCATTTATGTTTAGAATTATGCATTCATATCCTCCTCGTGATTAGCTGTTACGCAGTTTCTGACTCCATGTGATTCTTCCACCCCTTAATTGTAGGCCTCGTTTCCTCTTCTGTGAAATGATGTATGAGAGTATGTTAGTCTTCTTTGGCCAGGACTTTTGAGTTGTTAAGAAAGGGCCCAATGCCATTCGTGTACCAAAATAAATTAATCTGCACACTCTAAAGAGCAGTAAAGCCACCTCATCTGGCGGCTCGTGTATGGGCAGCTAATGACAGGATCATATTTTAACAGGACAGATACATCGGGCTGAAGTGAAAGAGCCCGAGAACAGATACATCTACAATGTTACAAGCGTAAGGATCCACGAAGAATATATGACTCGTGGCTACGGTTTTGATGTTGCGTTGGTAAAGCTAGCAAGACCAGTCATGTTAGAGGCTGGTAAAGTCTGGCCAGCATGCCTTCCTGAACAAGGAAACCGGGTGTCGATTGGAGAATTATGTTACATCACTGGTAAGTCTCAGGGTGCAAATATGTCGGCCAAAACTACCTAAAAAAAGACGTACCACTTCACTCCGGATCACAGTTAGTGAAAAAATAAATAAAATAAAAATAAATTTCGCATAATTTATAATTAATGAAGTTAAAGCAGTTGTATTTATTTGTAAACAAAACGATAAGGCGTTAAGTGGAGATGTTGATCAAGAGCAAATGTGAATTAGTGAGGCATGTGACATGAAGTTTCTCAAACCTTATTTTCCCTCGAGTTCATAAAACAGATTCATTATAACAAATATCTGCAAGCCTTGCTCATCAGATTAATATGACAGCGCAAAATACAAATACCAGACTTAAAACACCTGTCAAAGGTGTACACCTCGAAGCTTGCCCATCCGACAGCCTAGAAGAGACAACCTTCCCCTCTCCCCCC